TATTCAAGCAGAGCAGGAGGAAAACCAAGTATTGAAGCCAATAATTGATTTTCTAAAAGCAAGTGTTTTGCGCCCTGCTTGGGAGGAGGTGTCTAGCTTAAGCCCTGTGAAAAAGAACTGTTTGGCACAATGGGACCAGTTGAAGCTTGAAGATGGTATTCTTGTCTGGAGATGGGAAAGTGACGACCTGGCAAACAGTTATACCGAGAAAGTTACGGGAAGTTGTGCTGCGTCAGTCCCATGATAGTTTAACAGGAGGACATCTTGGAGTTAAGAAGACATTGAGTCACCTACGGAAGAGATTTTACTGGATAGGTATGAGGCAAGATGTGGAAGAACGGTGCAGGACCTGCAGTACATGTTGTGATAAAAGTGGACCCAAGCATAAGGGATGTGCTGCAATGAAGTTATTTCAAGTTGGCGCACCAATGGAAAGACTAGCCATTGACATTGCTGGTCCATTGCCCCGAACTCGTGCTAGAAACAGGTACATTTGTATGGTGATGGATTATTTCACCAAGTGGCCTGAGGCATATGCAATACCAAATCAGGAAGCTACAACAGTAGCTTCGGCTATTAGTGATTTCTTCTTCAGGTTTGGTATGCCATATGAGCTGCATTCAGATCAAGGCCATAACCATGAATCAGCTGTGTTCGAGGAATGCTGCAAGTTGTTTGGCATACGAAAGACCAGGACAATGCCACTTCACCCACAGTGTGATGGGATGGTAGAAAAGTACAATTGGATCCTAGGTCAGGAATTAGCAAAGTTTTGTAACAGCCACCAAGATGACTGTGATGTCTTACTCCCTCCACTGTTGATGGCCTGTAGAACAGCAGAGCATGAAACTACTGGATACACTCCAGCAAAGCTGATGTTTGGTCGGGAACTTTGGTTACCAGTGGACCTGATAATAGGATGCCCACCTTACAAAGAGTTGCCTGAAAATGTTTCAGAGTTCGTGAAAGTGTTATCTGAAAGGATGGGTGATATTCATCATCAAGTGCATTCAAACTTGAAAACGTCTGCTGATTCCATGAAGCTATGTTATGATAGGAAATCTACTGAAGCCAGCTTCGTACCAGGGGACAAGGTGTGGTTGTCTAATCCCAGGAAAACCAAAGGGAAGTCTCCTGAAGTGTCTTCTCCATGGGAAGGCCCATATGACATAGTGGATCGTCTCTCAGACATGACTTTCCGAATAAAATGTAGTCGGCGAGGTAAGCCAAAAGTGGTGCACGCCAACAGGCTTTGGCATTATCATGGTTCAGGACATTTCAGTTGGAACAAATGACGCTGCTGAAGACGTGTCACCTGAAAAAGCCACTGTCAAAGAAAAAACTCTACCCTGTTTTGAGAAGGAAAATAGTGAAGCCATTAATGAAGTTACTACCACTGATGTGACTGCTACCGATAATGGGACATTTCCTGATGGAGTAGATGAACCCCACATGAATCAGAAGCCAATGAGACGGAGACCAGTACGGAAGAAGATACGTCCTGTAAAATTAAGAGACTTTGTTGTATTTGAATTTTGTGTTGGTAAATTTTGTACATTTAATTAAGTTATTGTTGGTTTAATGTAAGTGGCTATTGTTCGGGACGAATAATATTAAGGAAGGGGCAGTGTTAGGACAGCGGAAGTCACGCGATGCTGGGAGCATGCGCGCTGGAGTTTCTG